ATGTTCACGCATCTCAGAGCTTAGTTACATCGCCTTCCTGATGCCAAGTGCTCCAAAGTCGTGAAAGCTAACTCATGCACCTCTTCTCCCTTCCTCCTCCTCCATTGCAGCATTGACTTTTAGACCTGCAAACTCGATCCCGTTCTTCCAATGCCATGCCTAAACACACCACGGTTATCCCTATGGCAACTCTCTTCTCACCCTGTTCTGCATTAACCGACAATGATGAAGTTTTGTATGGTCAAGTTTGCGTTTTTTTTTTTCATAATCTGGCGGAAGGGCGATTATTTCTGATTTTACCAAATAAGTCAAAATTGCTTGGTCTTGTAAAGCTCGCCTTTTCTGTCAAAGCACTACCACCTCACCTTTCACAAGCAGCTATTGTGTGCTTCTCAGAAGCAGTAATGGCTGTATTTATCATCACCACGGAATCCTTCTTGAGTGCCTTCAAGATGGAGGTTTGCAAGTTGAATGCTCGGCTGAGATCAACCATCCAATTGCGTGAGAGGAGTAGGATCAAAATGAACCTCAAACCAAGGCACCCTTTTTCATTATAAATAATAAATTTATCCACCTTTCAAAGGACTACTTAGTCTCCTTAATGAGTGCTTTTCAAAGTTCTTACGTAACGGATTGCTTAAAAAGCTCACAACTTTGTGAGTTTTTGGCACTGACCGGAAAACATTGTAGAAGTTTTTTTGTCATACCACAAGGGAAGTGCTAATTGGGTCTCTTTTCTCACCGTTTTCTGTTTCTCTCTCCGTTTGTCAAATCAAAGAGACAAATTTCAGCCTGTAAATGGCATATCTCAAGGAGAAGGAGAAGTTTATTAGCTGTCGTCAATACAGCACCGATTGACGGATGAATGCATTGTAACAACTAGTCCTCCTGTTGGGCAGACCAGGAACAACTCCTACTTGTTTCATCACCCCTTATGCCTCCCTGTTTGTTCGTAGTGGCGCCAGATTCCAAGTGAGATAGAATGATGTTTTGGTCCAAAAATCAGTGCCATTAGAGGAGGAGAAAAAAAAAGGGAGGAGAGTCTTGCTACCAGCCATTAAGGTTTTGAGCTTTCACCTGGGTGGACCGATAATTTGTTGCATCAGGTAGGTGCATTTTGTTCAGTACGCATACAGCACATACTTGGGTGTTATGACTGGCACGTCAAAATCGGCAGTCAAAAGATGATTGAAGAGAAGTTGATGATTCGTTACTCGGTCAGTTTAGTGACAAGC